AAACCATATCCTACTGAGGACACAGATGGATATGGTTCTGTGACCGAAATGTTTGCTGGGTATTTACACACAATTTTATTCTAATTATCATTTATTCGTTTTTTTATGAAATCTCATTCGAGTGTGTCTTCTGCGATGATCTTGACTCAATGGTAAGACTGGATTTCCATCAGTATAAGGTGCGTTCTGACGTAGCTGCAGCAGCGGCGGAGGAACCGGAATGCAACCAGCCAAACAGTTGACGTACTGCATCATCGATAGTGGCAATGGCGTGTTTATGAACACTTCCTGTCGTGCCACATCGACACCTCGGATTATTCCTGCACATTTATTGCGAATAAAAAAAGTTTTTCGCAAAAAAGAGAGATTTAATTTTTTTTAATCCCGTTTAATCAACAAAATATCACTCACCGAATCCGTAGCATGTGCACAAAGGCGACCTTTGCGTCAATACTCGCAGACTGAGGACATCTTCAGACACCTGCGACGATTCCTCCGTTAGATCTATACCGCACAGTGCTACAATTTTACCGTTTATGATGTTCAAGACGTGCGACGCTGGCACGCCGAACAATCGTTGAGGAATAACGCACAAAGAAGAAAAAGGCGCCCTGTAAATATACACATCGATATACAGATATTCACGTATTTATTAACTAACGCGCTTTGAACGCAGTATATATAAGATACTAACGAATAAGGTGTTACTTCGTTAATACTCCTAAACGCTACTTGATCCGTGCGGTGACTGAAAGAGAAAAAAAAATACATGGAATTAAACGCAGTCAAGTGATTTGATAAAATTCACAGAAGCATTAAAGTGATCTGAACGTACAAAGAATCGTCTTTGTTTGGTATGATATCGCTGAGATAAGACATCATCACGAGCTCACGTTGTTGAAACGGTTCCATGCTCCACTTGTTCGTCTGCACTTGAAGTTCATTCGCCCAAGAACGAAGCAAGCACAATTCGTGCTCGCACGGTCTGTTCCAATCGATAAAATTCTCGTCGAAAAACTCCCACGTGAATTCCTGTTGAGAATTTTCTTTTCTCGAAAAATAATTACTTAACCAAAGTTATTGATTATTAAAGTCGCGTGTTTACCTGTTTATTTACAACTTCCGAATTGAGATTATCTGGGAAATTTTCTTGTTCCTTTTTCGATGATAACTGCAAAATGATCGACGGTCTGATCAGTTTTATCGTGAAGATCATGATGTTCCAACCGATGTCTTGCGTGAAACCCATCGTGTTCACCACAATAGGTAAACGAGACAATACGGGACATGACTTTAATCGTTCGATTAGCATCTTGACGCCCTCCAAGTAGCGCGTGACGCATCGGGAAATGTTCACGTCGTCGAGAAACAGCTGATAAACCGGCGTCTTTAGATGCGTGAAATTCGGTCCCAGCAACGGTTCTTCGATCAAACTATACGAGATGCAACCGGGCGGCGTGCACTCCGCCTGGCCAGGATCTAAGTCCACCAGAACCACTTTCTCGGAAGTGCGCAACAAACAGTTGATGAGACATTTCGCGAACGTTGACTTGCCGACGTTTTTGCCACCGGCGATCAGCGTGCAGGACCATTCGTTTGCACGCCATCGGTTCAACATCTTTGTTGCGGTCTTCATTGTGATAGAGAAATCGACAATCAACGGTTTATAATTGAACAAATTCTCGTAATTGTCATGCTTCTGAAAATATAAGTTGGTCTGCAGCACCGTTCTCGCTCGCTTGGGATCCGTCCAGGAATGATAATAGGATTGTTTTATCTCTGGGAACAATTTGACATACGGAAAGTGATTCTTCAGAAAGAGCGTCAAATTGTTGTCGAAGTTCTGCAGCACAAAAATGACACTTCCCGGTCGAACGCCGTCGATATCGGCCTGCAGTTTGCTTTCCGAATCTCGAGTGATGCCTCTCTCGGCGAGCGTCGTCCACACATCTTCGATATTATTTTCAGACGGTTTTTCCGCGCTAGTTTGAATACCGACAAGACTGAATCCCTTCGGAGAATACATCTCTTTGGTACCGCCTGAACTGTCGAGCACGAAGCCGTAGACATTCACAGCGCCGTACAACACCTTTATCAGTAATTTACCGTTAAACCAGAACTTGCTGTTCTTTTCCATTATGACAATAACTATATTTTTTAAGCAGTAAACCGCAGGCTCTTTCGAGCTGCGTGTAAGTGAGCGTATGTTTGAATTTGAATACGTGCGATTGTACGCTCGTATATTATCATTGCGACCTGCTGATCTGCTTTTTGTAGGACTTTTTCTAGGAGTACTTCCGACCAAATCTTTGTACATAGAATTCTTATTAGTACTCCTGAAACTTGTATCTTCTAATGTATCGCTGTCCAATGAACTGATCTCTACTGTAGTATTTTCTATTACGTTACTATCATCTTCAACACTTACATCAGATCTCGAACGTGCGGGAAATGTCCGCTTTTCTGGTTTTGCTTGCGTACGAGACCTGCGTCTCCGATTATGGGATTTAACATTTAATACGCGCGAATCTTCTTTATCGGACGTTTTATTTACTTTATGAGCGTCTTTCTTATGTGACAATTTTTTGGCCAATTTTGGCGTTTGATCGTTTTCACGTATCTGTGATGATAGTTCTAGCGAAACAATATTTTCTGAAAGCATGTCAACTACAGGTAATACACTTGTATCTCTCTTTTCTTTCAGATCAATCTGCGTCCAATCGTCTGTGTCTTCATCAGATAAAATTAACTTCCAATCGTCATCTACGTCGCTTGATTGTTCGAAAGTACCCCATTCTGTAGTATCAATTGTAACATCTAAAATTTAAATTACCAGCATTTGATTTTAACCACAAAGTGTGTTACAAAGACAACCTTAATTTACTCAAAATAATGCAGCTACTGTATTTATATGAGACATAAATAAATCAATATAATATAAAAATAATTCCAAGTGTCTTACGTTCAAGACTGGAAGAAGATTCATGATTACTATTTTCACGACTATTTGATTGTTTCCTCTTATTTTTAAGATTAGATGGAGTTACTGCTTTCTTTGCAGTACTGGTTCTATGATCTGTTGAATAAAGTTTCTGGTCATCATCATTATTGTCATCATCATCATCATCATCAATGTTTTCACTATTAACTAAATCGTCAGCAACAATTTTGCAAGACGACATATTTTTAGGCTTGTACAACTGATTTCTCTTCAGTTTCTTTACAAATTGTGTTTTACTTTTTGCCAATTTTCTGGAATAAAATAATAGAACAATATGTATTAACACAGTAGTAAATCTCTCTCTCTCTTTCAAATACTGTTTACTGTGTGTTACTAATTTATTATCAGTGAGTCACACACAAACTTTATTGTGGCGTGTATACGTACGTATGACACACGTGCTAAACTCTCTCTCTCTCTCTCTCTCTCTCTCTCTTGAAACTTTAATAACTTTACTCACGTTTTAATCTGCCTCGCTTTCAGTTCGGCTACTTTTTTTCTTCTTTTCTCAATCTTACGTACAGCCTCTATTGATATATATATATATATAAACAGATATTCTGATAAATAAATAAATGGTTTGATAAATATTACGTCTATATCTCTAATTGCGTAATAGATTTTTATTTACCAAACATCTTGGAAAATTTTAACCTCAAGCCATTTATCTCGCACCACGTGATGAGATTTTTGGAGCACGGTCGAGCACAAACTCACAGCTTGCGCTGCACTCCGTGCAATCAGCTGTAATCTCTCTTTGGCGCAATTTATAAAATTGCATCAAAAACAATGTTCACACTGTGACGTTCTTTCTATCTATAATCTTCTATCAAGAGTCTTTATGGCCGTGGCCACTCTCAGGCTTCTCTCTGGTTTTACAGAACAGAATTTGCGGAATGTCTACGACTGGCCGAAATTCATTAATTCGTAAATTCTGCATTACGCACGTTTCGCACCATCTGACTTCTCCCTTATGGCCGTGGCCGCTCTCAGGCTTCTCTCTGATATTGAAGGCCCTTTACGCCGCATGTAAAGACAGCCTAAGGCATAACGAATGAGACATAAGAGAATCAACCAATCAAAGCTTTTTAGAACAAGAAGTAGGCATGAAAACGAAAAGCTTGATTGGGTGATTTTCTTATGTCTGCGTTACGTATGCGTTATGCAAAAGTCTGTGTTTCGGCCTGTAGGTTTATTTAAAGGTCGTTGACATTTTGTCAGAGGACATTGACCTTTAGTCAAAGATCGTTGACCTCTTGTCAGAGGTCGTTGACTTTTCGTCAGAAGTCGTTGACCTTTCGTCAAAGGCCGTTGACCTTTCGTCAAAGGTCGGTGACCTTTCGTCAAAGATCATTGATTTTTCTGTCAAAGGTCATTGACCTTTCCGTTAAAACTTAAATCTTACGTCTTAAATTCTTATTGTAGACGACGTCTTACGGATCTGGCCGCTCTCATTCTTCTCTCTGATATAATTGTTAAATAATTATCGTTTGAATATGCGAATATTTTAGCCATTTCTAACTTAGATGATGATCGACAAGCGTTATTTCAATTCAGGAAATAACAAAATGATTTTTTTATACAAAGAAAAGAACAAATTTGACTATTTGTCTCTTTTTTTTTTATCTAGAAATGCTCTTCTTGTTTTCATTTCGCGCCTTTACGCAAATGCGATTTTTGATTGGTTGTTACACTGTGCTGCCGCCATTATGTGACGACGGTACGTCTCGTTACCACCCTTCTTCTGATGAAGTTGCGCTTAGCTTTAGCTGTACTGAGCTGTGTGTTACGAGAGTGTATTCAACCCAGTACTGATAACCACTAAAAATGGACTTGCCAGTTACGTATTGTTTATGCGGCGGCTCATACGATCCCGAGCAATTTATGATACAATGTGACGTGTGCAAAGAGTGGTACCACGGCGAGTAAGTGTCCGTGAACTCATTTAATAACGCGAAAGGCAACGAGTTTGCTATTGCAACACACCGTGATTTTGATGACTAATCTTCGTGGTTTTGTCACAAATGTCGAAAATTTTTCGCATTGGTTTATATTTTCGATCGCGGGTGCTGACTTTTGTAATCTCGCGAACGCGAAATGTCACTCATATCTGTCAGCAGTGTGTCAAACAACAATGTTTTGTTGATAGTAACATAACCTGTACTCTGCGTTATTTGTCTTCCATATCTCGCGTCCTTTTTGTGTTGTTAGCGGATTCGTGACACAGAAATGACAGTTAAAACAATTATTGAGCTGTTGTGTTTGATGAAAGTAGTCGTTTGTGTCATGATTGTGAATTTGTGTATTACAGGACACGAATTTTTCTGATAAAACACACATGTGTTTTATTGTTTGTTTGTTCTTTCAGATGTGTGGCTTTGAAGGAATATATGGCCATAGATCTTGACAAGTATCACTGTCCACGATGTGAAACCATGTGTGGTCCTTCGCTCAGTAAGTTGTTTCAGATATTTGACAAATATTTGTAATTAGTACATTATTATCCATTGACACTTGACATGTATTATTTCTTGTTGTGGCTAAACAGTGAAAATCAGAGTGAACTGGCATAGACACGATTACACCGAGCGCGATGCGGATACAAAGCCTGTTCAAACTGGAACTCCAGTTTTTATACGAGAACTGAAATCTAGGCATTTTCCCAAAGCTGATGAGATTGTGAAACATATAAAAGGACAACAATTAACTTTACAATATTTGCAAGCAAATGGTTTTGAGACTCCCATCATTATTGATGGAAAAGACGGACTCGATATGACATTACCGCCTCCAAACTTTAATGTTCATAATGTCGAGGGTTATATAGGTAAAATATTTATTCTGGATATAAATTTTTTTTGGTTCTATGTATAAATTTTACAATTGATATGTGAAAAGCTATTTTGTAACATATACTTTTACAGGCGGCGATCGGGACATAGATGTAATTGATGTTTCTAGACAAAGTAACATACGTATGAAACTAAGAGATTTTGTAGAATATTACAACTCTCAATCTCGAACAAGAGTACTTAATGTCATAAGTCTCGAATTTACCAACACTAGGTATATTGCTGTTCTCATTGTCCTGACGTGTTACAATTGTGTAAAGTGAACTATGTGCGTAAAATAACAATAAAAACCAAAATTGCAGTCTTTCGTCATTGGTTGAAGCGCCGTATGTCGCGCGCAAGCTCGACTGGGCCAATTCAGCGTGGCCGCGCGATTGGCCCGCGGACAGTGACATAAAACGACCCGAAGTACAAAAGTATTGCCTAATGGGGGTCAAAGATAGTTTCACGGATTTCCACGTCGACTTCGGTGGCACGTCCGTGTGGTATCACGTGTTGCGCGGCGAGAAAGTGTTCTATCTCGTAAAGCCAACGCAGGCAAATTTGCAGTTGTATCAGCACTGGATGTGCAGTTCAACGCAAAGTGAGACCTTCTTTGGAGATCAGGCTGACGCTTGTTACAAGTGCGTGATCAAACAAGGTCAGACAATGATGATTCCCACGGGCTGGATACACGCCGTGCTTACACCAATTGACTCCTTGGTCTTTGGTGGAAACTTTTTGCACACCCTCAACATTCCGATGCAAATACAGTGAGTGAAGAAAACAGCTTTAATAGTTGATTGAAAAATTTTCGTTACAATAATGAAAAATGTTTTTCATTGGTGTAACGAAAAATCATTTATCTTTTATAGAATATACGAATTAGAAAGAAAAATGAAGACTCCGGCAAAGTTCCAGTATCCCGGATTTGAGACGATTAATTGGTTCGCAGCTAAAAAATTATTAAAGGAATTGAAAGAATTAAATAACGAGGGGAAAAAATGTCCAACGTATCTTTTACAAGGTGTGAAAGCGTTACTTGGGATTCTCAAACAGTGGAACACTGACAAAGACGTAAGATGTTTTTTATATTCGACTTTGAATTAAAAGGAAAACTTATAAAAACTCTGTAATAAAAGATAGAATAACATCTGTTTTTATCATTTCAGTATAATATGATCAGTCGCGGCCAGATACCGGAAACGATAAACAGTCAGAAGTTATTGAAGGACATCAGCAAAGAGATACGACACGCGGAACGATACTTAATATCCTTGAACCCGCCGAAACCAGAACGTGAGAGTAAACGAAGAAAGAAAAAACCGCTAGACAAAGATTTCGTGGACTTTGATTACGCCGACAGGATGGCTGACAATGTCTTCAAGGCGACGTTGAAGGAAACAAATAAGGTGGAATCCGCTCCGATCGAACAACTGCCGCCGAGACCTCCGTTGAAACTCACGTTACCGAAACCGATTATGACTCCCACCGTTGTATCTCCGGCACAGAAATCCATCAATAGCAACAAACGGCACTTGTCCAAACCGGGGAAACAAAGTCCTACCGTGATTAGATTTAAGCTTGGCAACAACGAGGTTGTCAGAAGTACAAACGACAGTATAAACATTTACGGTAACAATATCACGATCGATCATACTCTGGAAACGAAAAAGGAATCGCTTCCGTGGAATCAGACTTCGTCCGTGTATGATTTTCACGACGGCAGCAATGAGAGCGATTTCGGCCTCGTGATAGACGAATCGCAAAAACGTAAACGAACACCAAAGTCGAACACGCAGAAACGATTCAAGCGCGACTTCGACGGTGAAGTCGACGTACTGAACAACGCCCCAAAGAACGGTATAGAGGAATTGCTGAAGGCATCAGCGTACACGCTAGGCAATGGCACTCAAAAAATGGACGTCACGTACGTATTAATTCAGACACTATCTAAACTTGCCGTCGTGTTAATATTAGATTAGAATAATTGTGCGATAGAAATGTTTTTAGGCCGTCGACCACGATTCCACAGTACATTCAACCCATGCTACCCATGCCGCCTCCTACTGGGTGAGTAAATCTTCCGTAGAACATTTGATTTTCGTGATATTGGTTTTCTTTTCGAGATTCTGTTAATTTAATTCTAGCCGAAGCAAGTAATCTCTAATAGAAATTTAGTATAGAAATAATGTATGGTAGACGTAATATAAGTTTTTTCGAGCATGTGCAAAAAGTCTTCATATTTATTTGCAACGGAATGTTCATTTCTAAAGCCGTCTCGTTGTAAAGCTCTCGTTTTTCAAGGAATGAATTTAATTTCTTGGTGTCTTAGTATTTATAAATTGAAAACGGTCAGTTCCGACAGGGCGTCACCGTCCACACGGGAAGCAATCGCCGGGATGCTGTCGTTCAGCCAGCAGAGTTACTCGACGTCGAGTAATAGTCCAGCCAAGTCCTCGAGATCGATCAAGAGTCAGCAAAACGACGACAACGACGACGACGACGACGATGACGATCAATCGATAGAAAATATTGACAAAGTACACCAAGACGATGATTTCAGTACGTATATAATAAAAAAAAAAAACAACAATGCAACCTGATGTTCCTTTGTGATAACGTTGTTGTTATGATATTATTTATCACAGTTTATCCAGCATTGGACGCATCGGACGACGAAGATTATATTTTCAAGCCCAAATCGAAGAGTCAGATCGATGAAGCGTGGAATCCGAAAGCCAGAGTGGGACCTCTTTTGCCAAAGACAAATCGGCCAGCGCGAGAGGGCGTAAAGAAAACGTCGGTGGAAAAGGGTCTGGAAGCAGCCGCTGCGAAGCGAGCAAAGCAATCGGTGAGTCAATATACTGCCATTTTTTAATTTATATTATTTCATTTTATTTCGTATGCCATAACCATGTCTCTCAATATATTTATGCGAAAATAAATATTGTATTTTAATTTCACAAAATTTATATACGTATACTAAACTTGTTCTATAAGTAATGAACATATATGTACATATTTTTTATATATAATTTTTAATCTGTTTATTATACATTTTTTTATATATACGTATATACAAAAATGTTTTATCATTATGTCTTGTTGAAAACTTGTCTTATCATTCATAAACGTTCCTCAAATATCATAATTCGCTGTTTCTTGCATATACATTTCATGTAGGATGAATACCTGGATAACGACGTGGACAAGATTACCAAGAAGAAAGTGGTAGGCACATTTCGATTTATAGTTTGATCTGAAATTTCGTAAAATTTTCTAGAGTATTACTTGTTGTATACACTTTACTATATTTCGTAGTTATAGATGTATTCTTTAACTACAGCTCTTAATAATTAGTTAAATTAAGAGTTTTCTTGGTGCCACATTTGTGTAGCTTCTAAATGTCTTTTTTTTTTTATGTTAGTCGCCACTGTAATATATTCTCTTCTCGTACACTGTGGTTATTCTCAGCTATAGTTCGCTACGATTACAGACTGGGCCATTAGAAAAGTAACACGTATACTTCTGTTCAGTAGTTCTGTTCTGTCTGTATGTTTTTTTTCATCGTAGTTCAGTCACTTATCATTTCATGTTCACGTTGTTATAAAACAAAAAAATTAACGATGTGCGTTTTGTGTTATTGTGCGTATTTAATAGAGTACTAACAAACGGACGTATAACAAAAAGAAGCAGAAGAATCCTGCGGTTACTGCGGTAGGAACTACATCGTCCACTGCACCGTCTGAAAATGTTATAAAATCGTCCATTGGATTCGGGTCGATATTGACATGTCCTAACAGACTGAAAGACGTTAAAGCCAAGCTTGCAGCGCCAGTTCCCGTTGGTAAAGTATCAAGTTTTATCTTTGAAATTTTTTTAAATAATTTACAAACTTATTCTACTATATATTTGATATATTTGATAATTTAATATATTTGATTCAATTGTGTGTGACTAATATAATTAGAGACTCGATATCTCTATTAACTTTCAGAACGAAAACCGAAGAAGGGAATGAAAACGGCGAAACAACGTTTGGGAAAAATTCTGAAACTTCATAAAATGATGCACTAGAGAAAGTTATTAACACTGGTTTACAAATTTATCACTTTTGTCTGTCATTTTAACGCACATTAAAATCTATAAATTATCTTTCTCCGTTAAAATGACAAAAGTTGTTGACCAGTGTAAAGCCTGCGGCAAGAAGCTTCTTTTGTGCTAAATTGCATATAAATAATAGATTTGATTAATTGTGTCTAGAAATCAACGAGATGTCAGATTTAATTAATTGCGTCTGGAAACTAACGCGCGCGAGCGCGCGTGATGTTTGCGTGCGATTTGAACATTATGAAGACTTGACCAAATGTAATTTCGAAATCAAATATACAATCCAGTACAAAAATAGTGTCATTTGCCACAGGCTTAATTACCGGAAAAAATAGAAACTAAACCATCTCTCTCATGTTCATTCTTTATTTGTGTATAAAATCATGTAATAGTTGTACATATATTATTCTGTAAATATAGAACTTTCTCTATCAAGGTGATGCGTATTCACCTTGCAGGAACACAACTCTACTTGTTAAGATCAGTGGATCGTTTTTCTAAGAGACACGTATATATTTATTACATATTACTACATTGCTTAATTTTGTAGTTAAATATTTAATGACTTTTGATATCTCGATATTTCAGTAAGACGATATTTATATTATAACAGTGGCTTACTGACGCTTTATGTGATTACTCAAATCTAACAAATTCAGTTGACAACGACTCTTGAGGACGAAGAGGTAAAACAAACTCCATACATCAATGTACGGTTTATCATAATTTAACTTATATATGAGTATAATAGTAGATCGAACAAATTTAATGATAGTTTTAGTGCAAAAGAAGTAGAACTGTATTTTTAATGAGTATACCGAGTAAATACTCTCCACCGTCCATTATCATGAAAAATATAGAGAGAGTCTCACCACGCTGTTATATAACATATTTTTGCATTTTTTAGAGTAAAACGCAATTAACACGACGAACTTTTTCGCTGTACGTTATTTAATCTCGATTATTTTTTGAAGCGGTGCAAATATTACGATAGGACAATCTTTAATCGATCGTTTAAAATTGCAATCTCACACAATTGAAGAATTGTTCCTACACTCGAAATATATACACAATTGCCATATATATTTTCTTAAAATAAAACAGTACATCTAGTAGAGGCTAGCTATCGATTAAAATCGCTTATCATTTTTTTCGCGAGAGATGTGGGAAAAGACTTGTGTACACCACAGTGAATGAGACACAATCTGAATTGTTCACAATTCGCTATCACCACAAGAATGCACTTATGCATTTCTTCCAGTTATAATACACTTCTTTTGTTTCTCCATTTTGCTGTAGTGCTTCAGTTAGCACTATTTTGCTACTTAGTTTATAACATCACAGAGAGGCTGTAGAACATAGTGATTAGCGTTTTCTATATTATGCTATATTATTAAAATAAAAAACAAAATATAATTATATTTCTCGGGACATTTTGTATTTAACTTATAAATCTAGCAAAATGTACTTCACAATTATTATTACTATTATTACAAAGTATCGATCAAGGAGCAGAGATTACGAGGGGGAATTTTATCGATTGTTGTATCATATAGGAAATTGAGTTATCTGGTTGCACTTGTACCTGTTTCCTATGATACACGACACACGTGAGATAAATGAAAGCATAAAAAAAATATATTGTGGAAGACTATAGGCAAAGAAAAGATCGTTCACGATTACACAAATCGTTTATTTTATAATCTTTTATAATAAGTTGAACTCTCCCAGAATGTTATTGATACCAAGAAAAATTTTTAGAAAGTGATGAAGAAAATCTTGAAAAAAAAAGGATGTTTTTTACTTAATAGCATATACGTGTAAATTAAAACTTAGTCCTAAAATTAAGACTTTTTAAAATCCGTACGCGAGATATCCGATTTCAACAATGTTAACGATTAGAACTTTTATATGTACGATTTAATTAATTTATATACTAATGTAGGTGTGATAAGAGTATTATAAATGTTATATATTTGTGTCATAGTTAACAACACAGTACAATTTATGAAGCTGCTGAAACGTGCGGCAAACAAGTTGAGAAAATAGAAACTTCGCAATTATTTAACATGTCTCAAACCAATAGCGTTTTCTGATGCAGTAGTTGAATTTTTTATGTAATATAAACCTGCACACACATCGAATACATTTATAAAAAGTACACGTACGATACGGTGAAACTTGACAAAAACGTAAGGTATTTGGAAATACTTTTTATAAAATAAAATATGTAAGAAATATTGGTAGAATTAGATTGTTTAGTGCTTTACGCACTAAAGACAATATACAGGGTGTCCCAGAATAGCCGTACAATCTCTCGTAGGCAGATAGAAGGAATAAAACTGAGTC